ATACCATCTTCGCCCGCGCTCCCTATGTGGCCACGGCTTCCCGCCGGAGACCGACATGCTCAGGTACACGTTCGTGGCCGTCTTCGCGGGCGCCGACGACGACAAGGACGGCGCCCCTCTCACCGAGGAGCACAAGCAGGAGAGGGCCTTGAGAGCCCTGAGGGAGGAGGTGGCGTTGCACGTCGACAAGGCGGAGTACGACGCCCAGGCGCCATTGTTGAAGCAGCACAAGTATGGGGCCACGATTCTCATGAGGGATGTGCCGCAATGGCCTGGGGCCGCCATGCGAACCCTGCCACTGGCGCCTTCGGTGGAGCTCCCTATGGGGCCACGATCCCCGTGAGGGGTGTGCCGAAATGGCCCGAGGCCGCCATGCGAACCCTGCCACTGGCGCCTTCGGTGGAGCTCCCTATGGGGCCACGATCCTCGTGAGGGGTGTGCCGAAATGGCCCGAGGCCGCCATGCGAAACCTGCCACTGGGGCCTTCGGTGGAGCTCCCTATGGGGCCACGATCCTCGTGAGGGGTGTGCCGAAATGGCCCGAGGCCGCCATGCGAACCCTGCCAGTGGGGGCATTCGGGGAGCTCCTATGGGGCCACGATCCTCGTGAGGGGTGTGCCGGAATGGCCCGAGGCCGCCATGCGAACCCTGCCACTGGGGGCCTTCGGTGGAGCTCACTATGAGGCCACGATTCTCGTGAGCGGTGTGCCGAAATGGCCCGAGGCCGCCATGCGAACCCTGCCACTGGCGCCTTCGGTGAAGCTCCCTATGTGGCCACGATCCTCGTGAGGGGTGTGCCGAAATGGCCCGAGGCCGCCATGCGAACCCTGCCACTGGCGCCTTCGGTGGAGTTCCCTATGGGGCCACGATCCTCGTGAGGTGTGTGCCGAAATGGCCCGAGGCCGCCATGCGAACCCTGCGACTGGCGCCTTCGGTGGAGCTCCCTATGGGGCCACGATCCTCGAGAGGGGTGTGCCGAAATGGCCCGAGGCCGCCATGCGAACCCTGCCACTGGAGCCTTCGGTGGAGCTCCCTATGGGGCCACGATCCTCGTGAGGGGTGTGAAGAAATGGCCCGAGGCCGCCATGCGAACCCTGCCACTGGGGCCTTCGGGGGAGCTCCCTATGGGGCCACGAAACGATGCACTGGGTGGGTGAAACGCAGGGAGGAGGGAGGAGGAGGAGGAGGAGAGGAGGAGGAGGAGAGGAGACGCGGGCCACCGTCTCTTCAAAACGAGGACCCAACACCACAGGGTGGTTGGGAAAAACCCAAGAGGCCCCCAAGAGTCCACGAGGGCCCCATGAGGCCACAAGCGGCCCCAAGAGGCCCCCAGGAGGCTCCCAAGGGGCCCCCTGCCCCTGAGACTGTCCCCGAGAGGCCCCCGAAAGCGCTCCGAAGAGACCCCAAGAAGCATCCCTGAGGACTCCGACCCGCAATCCAGGCACGGTGGCGGGATGGGCCAAAGGCAATTGGACCTGCTTGGCACGGGGACGAAAAGCGCACTTACTTTCAGAGCGCACGAGATCGCTGGCTCGTCCGCTCTTACACCTCTGATTGGCTCCCTTCCCCTCGCTCTTGTCCTATCTCAGCCTCGGAGACTCGCGGAGCTTTCTTTGAGCGCGTCTCTTGTTTTGGAGGGGGCGGTCGGGTCGCGTTGCGTTTTCCGCGTTTGGGCTGCCAGCTTTCCAGAACCCCGCGTTTTCCTTGCGTGGACCGCTCGTTGTCCACGCGTTGCCGCCCGTCCCTGTGCCCTGGCGTCAAGAACTTATTACGCCGCAGCTCTCTGTTGGGAGCTTTGGTCTTATCAGCTCGATTACGTCACCGCTCGCTCTTGGGAGCCGCGGTGCTAAGAGCCTTTGGGAGTATGTTGGGCCTCCTGGGGGGCTTTTGGGGAGCCGTTTGGGTGCCTCCTGGGGACCTTTGGGGGTTTTTCGGGGGCCTCTTGGGGCCCCTTGGGAGCTTCTGGGCTGCGCTGCGGGCGTGAAGGGACTAGGCTGCCCTTGGCTGGCGTTGGGCTCTCTTGGGGGCCTCTTGGGGCCTTCTTGGGGCCGTCCTGGGGCCGTCTTGGGCCGTCTTGGCGCCTCTTGGGCCGTCTTGGCGCCCTCTTGGGCCGTGTTGGGGCCCTCTTGGGGGCCTCTTGGGCCTTCTTGGGGCGCTCTTGGGGGCCTCTTGGGCAGCCTTGGGCGCCTCTTGGCCCGTCTTGGCGCCCTATTGGGCTATTTTGGGGGCCTCTTGGGAACATATTGGGCCGTCTTGGGGCGGTCTCGGGGGCCTCCTGGACCGTCTTCAACGCCATGAAAGGAGAAAAGCCGTAGATGCTAAAGATGCACGTGTTCCTTAAGAAAATCAATGATATTGGCCTCTTGGGGCCCTCTTGGGACGCCTCGTGGGCGCCTCCTGGGGCGTCGTGGAGGCCTCTTGGGACGTCTTGGGGCCGCCTTGGGCGGTCTTGGGCTCTCTTGGAGCGCTCTTGGGCCGTCTTGGGCGCTTCTTGGGCCGTCTTGGGCCGTCTTGGGCGCCGTCTTGGCCGCTTCTTGGGCTGTCTTAGGCGCCTCAGACGGCCCAAGAAGCGCCCAAGAAGCGTTTTCCGATGAAGTTCTCGAGCGAAACGCTGTTTTTAAGCCCCGAAGGCAGTCCTACTCTATAAAAAACGAGGCGGGAGGGCAATTGGACCTGCTTGGCACGGGGACGGAAAGCGCACTGACTTCCAGAGCGCACGAGATCGCTGGCTCGTCCGCTCCTACACATATTATTGACTCCCTTCCCCTCGCTCTTGTCCTATCTCAGCCTCGGAGACTCGCGGAGCTTTCTTTGAGCGCGTCTCTTGTTTTGGAGGGGGCGGTTGGGTCGCGTTGCGTGTTCCGCGTTTGGGCTGCCAGCTTTCCAGAACCCCGCGTTGTCCTTGCGTGGACCGCTCGTTGTCCACGCGTTGCCGCCCGTCCCTGTGCCCTGGCTGCAAGAACTTGTTACGCCGCAGCTCTCTGTTGGGAGCTTTGGTCTTATCAGCTCGATTACGTCACCGCTCGCTCTTGGGAGCCGCGGTGCTAAGAGCCTTTGGGATCATTATGGGCCTCTTGGGGGGGCTCTTGGGGAGCCTCTTGGGTGCCTCTTGGGGACCTGTTGGGGCTTCTTGGGGGCCTCTTGGGGCATCCTGGGAGCTTCTGGGTGGCGGGGGTTAGGCTGCCTTTGGCAGTCTTTGGGCTCTCTTGGGGGCCTCTTGGGGCCTTCTTGGGGCCGTCCTGGGGCCGTCTTGGGCCGTCTTGGCGCCTCTTGGGCCGTCTTGGCGCCCTCTTGGGCCGTTTTGGGGCCCTCTTGGGGGCATCTTGGGCCTTCTTGGGGCGCCCTTAGGGGCCTCTTGGACAGCCTTGGGCGCCTCTTGGCCCGTCTGGGCGCCCTCTTGGGCTATTTTGGGGGCATCTTGGGAACAGATTGGGCCGTCTTGGGGCGGTCTTTGGGGCCTCTTGGACCGTCTCCAACGCCATGAAAGGAGAAAAGCCGTAGATGCTAGAAATGCACGTTTTCCTTAAGAAAATCAATGATTTTGGCCTCTTGGGGCCATCTTGGGACGCCTCGTCGGCGCCTCCTGGGGCGTCGTGGAGGCCTCTTGGGACGTCTTGGGGCCGCCTTGGGCGGTCTTGGGCTCTCTTGGAGCGCTCTTGGGCCGTCTTGGGCGCTTCTTGGGCCGTCTTGGGCAGTCTTGGGCGCCGTCTTGGCCGCTTCTTGGGCTGCCTTAGGCGCCTAAGACGGCCCAAGAAGCGCCCAAGAAGCGTTTTCCGATGATGTCTCGAGCGAAACGCTGTTTTTAAGCCCCGAAGGCCGTCCTCCTCGATAAAAAAAGCGTTTTCCGCATGATGTCTCGAGCGAAACGCTGTTTTTAAGCCCCGAAGGCCGTCCTCCTCGATAAAAAACGAGGCGGGAGTGCAATTGGACCTGCTTGGCACGGGGACGGAAAGCGCACTGACTTCCAGAGCGCACGAGATCGCTGGCTCGTCCGCTCTTACACATCTCATTGACTCCCTTCCCCTCGCTCTTGTCCTATCTCAGCCTCGGAGACTCGCGGAGCTTTCTTTGAGCGCGTTTCTTGTTTTGGAGGGGGCGGTCGGGTCGCGTTGCGTTTTCCGCGTTTGGGCTGCCAGCTTTCCAGAACCCCGCGTTTTCCTTGCGTGGACCGCTCGTTGTCCACGCGTTGCCGCCCGTCCCTGTGCCCTGGCGTCAAGAACTTATTACGCCGCAGCTCTCTGTTGGGAGCTTTGGTCTTATCAGCTCGATTACGTCACCGCTCGCTCTTGGGAGCCGCGGTGCTAAGAGCCTTTGGGAGTATGTTGGGCCTCCTGGGGGGCTTTTGGGGAGCCTTTTGGGTGCCTCCTGGGGACCTTTGGGGGCTTTTCGGGGGCCTCTTGGGGCCTCTTGGGAGCTTCTGGGCTGCGCTGCGGGGGTGAAGGGACTAGGCTGCCGTTGGCCGGCTTTGGGCTCTCTTGGGAGCCTTTTGGGGCCTTCTTGGGGCCGTCCTGGCGCCGTCTTGGGCGGTCTTGGCGCCTCTTGGGCCGTCTTGGCGCCCTCTTGGGACGTTTTGGGGGCCTCTTGGGGGCCTCTTGGAGTCTTGGGCCTTCTTGGGGCGCTCTTGGGGGCCTCTTGGACAGTCTTGGGCGTCTCTTGGCCCGTCTGGGCGCCCTCTTGGGCTATTTTGGGGGCCTCCTTGGGGCGGTCTTGGGGGCCTCTTGGACCGTCTTCAACGCCATGAAAAGCGAAAAGCCGTATGTGCTAAAAAAGCACGTTTTCCTTAAGAAAATCAATGATGTTGCCGCTCGCTCTTGGGAGCCGCGGTGCTAAGAGCCTTTGGGAGTATTTTGGGCCTCTTGGGGGGCTCTTGGGGGGCCTCTTGGGTGCCTCTTGGTGACCTTTTGGGGTTTTTCGGGGGCCTCTTGGGGCCTCCTGGGAGCTTCTGGGCTGCGGGGGTGAAGGGACCAGGCTGCCTTTGGCCGTTTTTTTTTTTGTTTTTTTTTCTACCCGCGAAGACATCGCCCGAAGGTCCGCTCGCTGTGCCAGTGCTCCTCCATGTGGTAACGGCTGCAAAGACACCCGCACAGCCGCACCCTCCTCCTCCTACTCCTCTTGTAGACGACACGACAGTGTTCAATGTGGCCTGGTTCTGCGGTGGATGACGCAAGCTGCCTGTGAGCGTCGCACGAAGCCAGACGGCCGCCTCGATACCAGGCGCGGCAAGAGGTCTACTTCGGCCTCATCAGGTGCAAAGGGCCACCTGTGAAGTTCCGAGGGGGGTCCTCGAAACGTGACGCGGCTCTTCTGCTGACAATCCAATCTTGGAACTCGCAACACCCGAGCAACGCATGGGACACGGAGTCTCAGGGTTTGCCTTGTCAAGCCAGGTTCGCAAGCACAGGTCATGATAGACATGACCGCAAGGAAGCCTTCCTGCAAGACAGCCCGATGATATGTTATCAAAGCAGATGGCGCACGTCGAGTCCATGCATTTCAAATTGACGTCGCGAACGACGAAAGACGCCACGTGTAGATACGGCGGGCCACTCTGCGTCGGGACGCGAAGGCTGAACACGCACACGCACCACACAATGGAGGATAAGTCGTTGATCATGGGAATCAGAAAGCGAACGGTTGCTTCGGGTCTGTGGCTACGTTCCCTGGCTCGGTCGTCGATAGAAGCCCTGTGCCAGCAGAAAACAATCCACGCATGCCCGAAGAGAACTGCATAAGAGAGACTGAGCAGATAGGCGCTGACCACCGACCGCCACACATCGACGCGTGCAGTGCAGACGTACAGTGTCATTGCAGCCACGCCACTTCTGATAATATTCGCCACAGCAAGTACCACCAAAGGCGTCCAGATGTCGGCATCTGCGCAAGCAGAAGCACTGCACACGGCCGAGAAGCACCATATCGAGAGCCCTGCCGGCATGCCAGCCTCCAGAGCAGACTCGAACCCATAGCAGCTGCCCAAGAATCTGAAGCTCATCAAACGTCTGACTGGGGCGTCAGACTAGCTACGGCTTCAAACTAGCTCGGGCAAGCTTGAGCCAAAATGGCTTGAGCCAAAATGGCTACGGAAGGCTGCCTTTGGCCGCCTTTGGGCTCTCTTGGGGGCCTCTTGGGGCCTTCTTGGGGCCGTCCTGGGGCCGTCTTGGGCCGTCTTGGCGCCTCTTGGGCCGTCTTGGCGCCCTCTTGGGCCGTTTTGGGGCATTCTTGGGGGCCTCTTGGGCCTTCTTGGGGCGCTCTTGGGGGCCTCTTGGACAGTCTTGGACGCCTCTTGGCCCGTCTGGGCGCCCTCTTGGGCTATTTTGGGGGCCTCTTGGGAACATCTTGGGCCGTCTTGGGGCGGTCTTGGGGGCCTCTTGGACCGTCTTCAACGCCATGAAAAGCGAAAAGCCGTATGTGCTAAAAAAGCACGCTTTCCTTCTTGGGAGCCGCGGTGCTAAGAGCCTTTGGGAGTATTTTGGGCCTCTTGGGGGGCTCTTGGGGGGCCTCTTGGGTGCCTCTTGGTGACCTTTTGGGGTTTTTCGGGGGCCTCTTGGGGCCTCCTGGGAGCTTCTGGGCTGCGGGGGTGAAGGGACCAGGCTGCCTTTGGCCGTCTTTGGGCTCTCTTGGGGGCCTCTTGGGGCCTTCTTGGGGCCGTCCTGGGGCCGTCTTGGGCCGTCTTGGCGCCTGTTGGGCCGTCTTGGCGCCCTCTTGGGCCGTTTTGGGGCCTTCTTGGGGGCCTCTTGGGCCTTCTTGGGGCGCTCTTGGGGGCCTCTTGGACAGTCTTGGACGCCTCTTGGCCCGTCTGGGCGCCCTCTTGGGCTATTTTGGGGGCCTCTTGGGAACATCTTGGGCCGTCTTGGTGCGGTCTTGGGGGCCTCTTGGACCGTCTTCAACGCCATGAAAAGCGAAAAGCCGTATATGCTAAAAATGCACGCTTTCCTTGCGAAAATCAATGATTTTGCCGCTCGCTCTTGGGAGCCGCGGTGCTAAGAGCCTTTGGGAGTATTTTGGGCCTCTTGGGGGGCTCTTGGGGGGCCTCTTGGGTGCCTCTTGGTGACCTTTGGGGGTTTTTCGGGGGCCTCTTGGGGCCTCCTGGGAGCTTCTGGGCTCTCTTGGAACGTCTATGCTTTCCTGGGAGCTTCTGGCCTCCTGGGAGCTTCTGGGCTCTCCTGGGAGCTTCTGAAAGGCGAAAAACCGTATATGCTAAAAATGCACGTTTTCCTTAAGAAAATCAATGATTTTGGCCTCTTGGGGCCCTCTTGGGACGCCTCGTGCGCGCCTCCTGGGGCGTCGTGGAGGCCTCTTGGGACGTCTTGGGGCCGCCTTGGGCGGTCTTGGGCTCTCTTGGAGCGCTCTTGGGCCGTCTTGGGCGCTTCTTGGGCCGTCTTGGGCCGTCTTGGGCGCCGTCTTGGCCGCTTCTTGGGCTGTCTTAGGCGCCTAAGACGGCCCAAGAAGCGCCCAAGAAGCGTTCTCCGATGATGTCTCGAGCGAAACGCTGTTTTTAAGCCCCGAAGGCCGTCCTACTCGAGAAAAAACTAGGCGAGAGGGCAATTAGATCCGGGCCCCGCGATGCCAACCCCCTCGAACTCCCCCAAGTCCAATTTCTTCCGACTAACGGACCGCACGCTAACGCGCGCTTTCCGTCATCCGGGCCTGGCGATGCCACCCCCCTCGAACTCCCCCAAGTCCAATTTCTTCCGACTAACGGACCGCACGCTAACGCGCGCTTTCCGTCATCCGGGCCTGGCGATGCCACCCCCCTCGAACTCCCCCAAGTCCAAGTTCTTCCGACTAACGGACCGCACGCTAACGCGCGCTTTCCGTCATCCGCCGCCCCCTTTTGCTTTAGCAAAGGGGTGCCCAGCGTGCTGAACCCTCTCGGTTTTGGTTTTGGTTCTTTTTCCAAAAGAACTCCCCCTGGGGCTCCGGCACGTCCCGCCGGCCACCCGGAAACTGCGTCAGTCAATGCCTGAAACGGCCGTTTCGCTCGGGACATCCTCAAAAAATCGCGAAGATGGCCCAAGATGGCCTCCAAGTCCGCCCTAGATGGTCCAAGACGGCCTCCAAGACGGCCCAAGAGAGTCCAAGACGGCCCAAGAGGCCCCCCAGAGGCCTCCCAGACGGCCCAAGAGACCTCCAAGAAGAGGTCCTCCAGGAAGGCCCGAAGAGGCCGAAATCATTGATTTTTCGTACATTTCTGAACGATTTTGGAATTTGCCTCTTCTCGGCACTCCGACGGCTCAAGACGGCCCAAGAGGCTCCCAAGATCGCCCAAGAGGCCCCCAAGAGGGCCCCATGACGGCCCAAATGACCTCCAAGACGGCTCCGAGAGGCCCCAAGATGGCCCAAGAGGCCTTCAACACGCCCAAGATGGCCTCCAAGACGCCCAAAATGGCCTCCAAGACGGCCCCGGGGTGACCCAAGAGGGCCCCCAGTCGGCCTAGAAAGGCCCCCAAGACGGCTCCCGACGGCGTCAGACGTGCCAGGAACCCACCAAGATGGCCGAAGTTGGCTCGAAGCTGACCCAAGACGGCCCAAGAGGCCCCCAAGAGGGCCTCCAGGAAGGCCAGAAGAGGCCAAAAATTTTGATGTTCCTAGGGTTTTGACGGAATTTGACATTTCCTTTTTTTCTGCCTTCCGACGGCCCGAGACGGCCCAAGAGCCCCCACAGATCGCCGAAAGATCGCCCAAGAGGCCTCCAAGATGGCCCCAGAACGGCCCAAGAGGGCCCCAAGACGGCCCCAAAAAGCCCCCAAGACGGCACAGGAGGCCTTTAAGACGCCCAAGGTGGTCTCCAAGACGGCCCTGGAGCATTCGAAGAGGGCCCCAAGTCGGCCCATAGAGGCCCCCCAAACGGCTTCCGACGGCTTCCGACGGCGTCAGACGGACCAGGAGCCCACCCAGAAGGCCGAACATGGCCCTAGACGGCCCAAGAGGCCTCCAAGAGGGTCCCCAGGAAAGCCCGAAAAAGGCCAAAATCATTGATTTCCCATGGTTTTTTGAAGGATTGTGGCATTTGTTTTTTGTTCTGCCTTCCGACGGCCCGAGACGGCACAAGTGCCCCCAAAGATCGCCCAAGAGGCCCAAGACACGGCCCCAAGTGGCCCCGAAGACGGCCCAAGAGGTCTCCAAGACTCTCAAGATGGCCTCCAAGACGGTCCAAGAGCCCTCCAAGAAGTCCTCCAAGAAGGCCAGAAAGGGTCAAAATGGCCTCCAGACGGCCAAGATGACCTTCAAGATGCCCACGTGTTCCCCGAAGGCTTTCCAAACCGACTCGGGGAACACATGGTCCGACAGCTTGGCAGGTCTGGCCTCAACGTCATAGGCGCTTCCACAAAGGCAGGGGGCGGCGGTGATTCGCCGAAGGCGTCTTCGATAGGCTGGCGATGCGGAATCAAGCTTTATTCAACGTCCTCATCCTCCTGCGAGGGAGGCAGGGAGGAGGAGGAGGAAGAGGAGGAGGAGAAGGAGGAGGAGGAGAACGAGGAGAAAGCGGAAAAGGAGGCGAACGAGGAGGAAGACAACAAAGACGAGTAGGAGAAGGATGACGATAGGGGATATGGACGGTAAAGAAGAGTAGGAGGAGAAAGTGAACGAGGAGAGGGCGAGGAACGACGGTCGGCAGGGGGGAGGAGAAACAGAAGAACAAGGAGGAAGAGGGTAAAGAGGGCGAGGCGGCGGAGGAATGGGGGGGTAGGCTGCGCTTCTCAGGGGGCCTAATCCTGTTTTCCAGTTAGGGTCCCCGCCCCTCGTTTTTGATTGGGGCTTGACCTCGCCTTCAGGGCAAACCCATACCATACCGAACCTCTTCCTGGCCCGGGACTTTCTGCTCCCTCCTCCTCCCCGTCCCTCCTTCCCCTGCCTGCTCCTCCGCCTCCTCGTAGTCCATACTTCATCCACTGCTCCTCCTCCTTCTCCTCCTGCTCCTCCTGCTCGTCCTGCTCTTCCTCCTCATCCTCCTCCTCCTCATCCTCATCACCATCATCATCACATCATCATCATCATCATCATCATCATCATCATCATCAGCATCATCATCCTCATCAGCAGCATCATCATCATCATCATCATCATCATCATCATCATCGTCATCATCATCGGCATCGGCATCGTCATCGTCCTCGTCACCATCATCGTCAGCATCATCAGAATCATCAGCATCATAATCAGTAGCCACCACCATTATCAACATCATAAGTAACCACCACCACCATCACAATCGTGATCATCATCATCATAATCAGCATAATCACCAACATCGTCGTCATCATCATGATCATACACATCATCATCATCACCACCAACACCACCACCACCACCACCACCACCATCATCATCATCATCATCATCATCATCATGAGCATCGTCATCGTCATCATCAGCAACATCATCATCATCATCGTCGCCGTCGTCGTGGTCGTCGTCGTCATCAATCACCATCACCACCATTATCATCATCAGCAGCAGCATCAGCATCAGCATCAGCATCAGCATCATCATCAGCATCATCCCCAGCATCATCATCAGTACCATCATCATCATCATCATCATCATCATCATCATCATCATCATCATCATCATCATTATCATCATCATCATCATCAGCATCATCATCATCATCATTATGATAACCGTCGTCATCGTCATCGTCGTCATCATCATCCTCATCAGCAGCAGCATCAGCATCCGCTACATCCGCCTCCTCATCCTCATCCCCATCGTCATCATCATCATCATCATCATCATCATCTGCATCATCATCGTCATCATCATCGTCATCATCATCAGAATCATCGTGATCGTCATCACCATCGTTATCATCATCATCATCATCATCATCATCATCATCATCATCATCATCATCATCATCATCGTCAGCAGCAGCATAGCATCATCGGCATTATCATCATCACCACTACCACCACCACCACCACCACCACCACCATCATCATCATCATCATCATCATGATCATCATCACCATCATCATCATCAGCAGCAGCAGCAGTATCCGCCGACCCCTTGGGATCATCGGCATGTGAGATGCTTCCCCCTCCCTAAACCCCTCCCCCCGGGGCCCGGTCCAG